TTTAAAACAATATACAGCGACAGATTAGCTACATTTAGCGACCAAAGTAATTAGCGACCGAATAGCGACTACTTTATCTTTAATGGAAGTAAATGATTCAGCGATCACTTCGGCAATTTTAGCGACTGATTTTACAATCGCTAATCTGCGACAGACTCCATATTCGATCGCTAAGAAATTAACGACAAGAAATTATGCGATCGATTACGGTGATTGCTGATCGGTCGCTATATCTGTTTTAGCGACAGGAAAAAAAAATTTAACAACCGATTTGTCCATAGTGAAATAGCGTTTTTTTTTTTTTTTAGTGTATTCTACGAGAATTAAAATAGAAATGATACAGAAAAGATTTATGTGCTGGTTTTCAACCAAACATTTATGTGTTGGTTATATTAAACTTTTTATATAAGAAAAAGACTTTTCTATGCTTGAGTCAAGTCAACGTAGTTTGTTTTATATAAATATATTATTCTTGTAGACCTTTTAAGGTCAAGGTCAGTCCACAAAAGGATTGTTGCACTGTCCTACCAATTTCATCCATCCAAAAGCAAACAATGAGTAGAGGAAACTTAATACTTAATCATAATTTTAGGTAAAAAAAATGTATTATTAAAGCTTTATCTACGGTAACATTTATGTGTTGGTTATATTAAACTTTTTATATAAGAAAAAGACTTTTCTATGCTTGAGTCAAGTCAACGTAGTTTGTTTTATATAAATATATTATTCTTGTAGACCTTTTAAGGTCAAGGTCAGTCCACAAAAGGATTGTTGCACTGTCCTACCAATTTCATCCATCCAAAAGCAAACAATGAGTAGAGGAAACTTAATACTTAATCATAATTTTAGGTAAAAAAAATGTATTATTAAAGCTTTATCTACGGTTCGTGGCTCAGTTGGTAACGGAGACTGAACATATGAGAAGAGATTTCAGGTTCGATCTCCATTAAATATACCTACCGGGAGAGTGAAGAGCCTTAACATAACTAAATCCTAAGTCGAATTAGACTGGCTCTGATATTAGGTTTGGACAGCAATAGTTTACAAAAAAAAAAAAAAATTCTCTTAGCTTTAGAATTTTTAGAAGAACCCTATAAAGGAAATTTTTAGAAAATAATTTCTTGGCATGACAAAAAGATACTCTCCCGGTCCTATTTTATTTATTATTCTTTTTTTGGACGTCTCAAAATGTTTACAAGATTTTTAAATTTAGATATGTAAACAATTATTTTTTTCCATAATAATATTTATGATTGTTCATTAAATAAAGAACTTTCATTAATACTTAAATGAGTGAAGGATAAAAATGACAAAATAATTTTTATTGATTAAATTCTTAATATACATATTTTGTCAAATCATGCAAATAAAATGGGACGCAGAGATTATTATTATTATTATTATTATATTATTATTATTGGTATGATTAGGATAAATATCCCTTGATGACAATTGCGCGCACACGTATGCAACGACTTGAAGATCAACAAAAAGAAATCAAGTTGCTTTTTTTTTTTTTCATTTTTTTATATGCATCATTCATAGCAGGTGAGGCAGCTAAACTAGAAATTGCTTAAAAGACATAGTTCAATAGTAAATATATATACCACGTAGCAATAGATCAAGTTCGAATCCCTCCTCCAATACTCAAAAAAAATTGCTTTAAAAAAAAAGATTGAAAATTATTATTTTGATGTTTCTAGCCATAAATTTGATTTTTTTAATCATTTAGTGCAAAGTTAGGGCGATAATTGTAATAAAAAAAAAATACATTTTAAAGTAAATTTTCAGAGGGCAAATTAAGTCTTGCTCCTGTTATTAATATGAGAAAAGTTCTTAAAACCAGGCCAAGAATAGTTATTAGAATCCAGAGTCGGCAGATTAAGTAAAAGATTCTTTGCTGCAAAGTTAAATAGTTGTGGATATGCTTGAAAGAGATTCCAAGGGAAAATTTCTGCAAAAATTCATAGATATATATCCCGATGTTCTTCCATTTATTCTTGAGCAAAAGTCATCTATATTCCCTTTACTAATCTCCTATTCCAACACAACTAAAACTTGATCATCAAACTACATCTTCCTTTATTTGGTTTCTTACAAAGTAATTTTTTCCAGAGAGGAGAAAAAGGATTCTGCAACCAAAGGCACATGCATCGTCATCTGTCAGGCAGAAAAGCTCTCTAGTTACTTGTAAGTTACCAGGAAGATGTGGGCATGTGGCTTCACAGCCTGCACTACTTATTCTATATTTACTTATTTATCGATCTGTTGGCTCTTCTCTTTCATTATTTTAAATATAAAAGCAATATAATAGCAGTTAGTTATTAGTTTTTACCCGTAACTGTTTATATAACGGTTTAAATTAAAAGTATTAAGTAAAAATAATTTTTTAATTAGTTATTTAATTTAAAACATTAGTCGTTCAATTAACTAAATTCAGAGGAAAAAACAATAAATTGATTGTAAAAAAAAATTTATTAATAATTGTACGCTAAAAATTAAAAGCTACAGTGTTTAACGTTTTATAAAAATTTTCTTAACCATATATAAAAATTCTCTGCCTGTAAAAATTTTTATAAAAGTAATATTACCGATGCTATAGTTAATAAAGATAGAATTTTGAATCGGTGAAAGCCGTAAAAGCTAAGTAAAAACAAATAAGCTATTGTTTTCTTGAAATCCGAATAATGAGCGAAATGGATGAGTAGCTTCTAATGGGGTTCTTGTTGGAGATAGAAATAAATTTTTGTCAGGCTGGGCTCCAAACAAGTTGGGTCTTATTGGCCCATCAATGGTGGGCTTTGGAGCCTAAAGCAGAAGCCTATTTGATCTTCTTGGTCACATACCTTATTTTGACATTTGAGCCTAATTTGCCACTGTGGGTAGAAGTAGAAAGCTTTTTTTGGAAGCCCATGTTATAGAAATGTATTGGATCAAAGAATCAAGTCACCACAAGCAACTGAAGAAATGAGCACTTTCTGTAAACCCCATATTATATATTTATTTAATCCTTCAATATCACATTAATTTTGATATTTTAATTCTTTAATAGGTAATTAACTAAACAATTTATTCATCTAGAATTCAAATGTTAATTTCTCTCTACATATAGTTTAAACCATTCTACAATTTGTATATTATACGTGCTATTGTATTTCCACAAACAACCTTTAACATTTAGACTTTCCATAAAATAAATATATATAGTTTACCTAATTAATGTAAAATTATGGTTAATTGCAACTGAATATACACAATCAAGATAAAGAAATTTTATAACCTGAACCAAATCACAAATTTTCAAAACCATCTTTAACATTTAGACTTTCCATAAAATAAATATATATAGTTTACCTAATTAATGTAAAATTATGGTTAATTGCAACTGAATATACACAATCAAGATAAAGAAATTTTATAAACTGAACCAAATCACAAATTTTCAAAACCATGGTTTTGAATCGATTTGGATAGTTTTGTGACAGTTTATGAACACTCCTAAGGTGAAGTGACAGCATCAAGGCACTCAAATGCTAAGAACTTTCCCTGTGTGCTGACGAACTATATTATGATGGTCCTATTGGGATGCAGGAGATATCAATGGTTTACCTTAATCTTTTCCATCTTCCCTGATATTAGTGTACATTAGTATACCTAATTTAATTTGTAACACAAAACACATTAAACATCTATTTATATAATAATAATAATAATAATAATAATAATAACAACAATAAGCTTAAAGGAAAAATATAATATTTGGTCAGAGAGAAAATGATTTGAATATTTTTACTATTTCTTTCCTTTTCTTCCAATGTCATTATCTGGGTCCATATCTACATACGTATCCACAACGGAAATTGATACTTTTTTACATTTTAATACATAAAGTTACCAAAATTTACATTCTCTACTAAATTTTTACATTTTCCCCCACTAAATTATTAACTTTATAAATCACCACCATTGACCAAATACAAGGTTAATCTTATCAATCAACTCTCATAATTTATTAACTCACCCTCCCTATCACAAATTCACAATCACACACTAATATTTTACTCTTAACAAAGCTCACACGCAAAGCAATCACCATTGTATCAATCTAAGCAAGGACTTAAAAAGAAAATGTCATCAAGCCGATCATTACTTGGAGAATTACCACCATACACCAACAGCCCATTTTCCCCATTCAACCGGCCCGACGAAAAAGCACACCACCCTCGCGGCCCAGGATGATTTTTCGAGCCCCGCCCATCATCCACCTTCTTCCACTCTAAAATCTCCGTGTCCAAAGCCCATGCTTCGCTAGTAAACTTTCCGGCACCCATGTGGCCCAAGTCACTCGAACAAGTCAAATATTTTATATATATTCTTCTTTTCTTTTGCTACAAAAGTTGCAAGTAGAACACAGCTGACAGCTAGGCAAAGGAGATGAAAGGTTAACGCCGGCTTCAGTTAAATTTAACAGGAGGCATTAAAATTTGGAATCAGAAATATTATTAATCTGCCAATATTTAGGGCCAAAAATGGTCTAACCTGTTGAAAAATTCCTAATTGATAATGCACCAGCAGAGAAATTATACCTGCTAAAATTTGTTATCTAAAAAATCCAGAAAATCTCCACAATGAAGGTAAATGAAAAAAATAACAATAATAATAAAATAACACAAACCAATATATTGAAGTAGATAATAAACTATTTATAAAATATGAAGATTTTCATGATGCAAGCAATAATAATAATCAATGTGATTAACCTCAAATGCTACACATATACAAGGAGCAAAAAACTTTTAATTTTCAAAGCGAATGTTCATCTTTCATGGTTCTCAGAAACAATATTTAATTTGATACAAAAATTTTGCAGTTTCTATTTCAATGACTGAAAAGGGAAAACAATTGATCGTAAGTCTGATCTTAAAGTAAACATGGTGTACATCAACATATATAGGACTTCACAACTCATCATTGACTCGGTCAATATATTTAATGAGAACTAAGAGCTTTGCCATTCTTCTTCATGTCCTGCTTCCTCTCTCCTTCCTTGAAATGAAAAAACAGCCTAGTAGAGAAACAAGGAGAGGAAGAATTTGGATGTGAAAATGGCAGATGGAGCTGTAAACTTTTTACTTGATAAATTAACTACGATTCTACAGCAAAAAGCATCATTACTGAGAGATGTTCATGAAAAAATTGAAGAAATCAAGCACGAGTTAGAGAGCATGAGATCATTCCTAAGAGATGCAGAACGGAGAAAAGAAAGGAGCGCGTCAGTTGAAGCATGGGTAAAACAAGTAAGAGAAGTTGCATATGAAGCTGAGGATATAATAGATGAGTTCTTGCACCACATACATAAAGAGCGGCTTAACAACAGATTCAAAGGAGCAGTCCAAGATTTGGTCAACTTCCCCAGGACCATTACTGCAAGGCATCAAATTTCTTCAAAGCTACAAAAGATCAAAGCTAAGGTTCATGAGGTTTCTGAGAGAAGCAAGCGATATGGATTTGATCAGCTTGATGAGGGAAGGACTGGAAATGTATTTGGAGATCCGTGGCAACACTATGGAGAATCATCATCTTTTGTAGATGAAGATGAACAATTACTTGGATGGTTAACAGAGGAGGAACCCCGTCGGACTGTTATTTCAATTGTGGGAATGGGTGGCCTAGGTAAGACCACTTTAGTCACAAGGGTCTATAACAATCAAATAATCAAGAGAATGTTTGACTGTTGGGCATGGATATCTGTGTCACAAACATATGGAATCGAAGATCTATTGAGAAGCATGATCAAAGAAATATTTGATAAAACACAAGTGCCAATACCAAATAATCTGGGTTCAATTTATTATAGGCAACTTCTGCAGATGCTCATTGATCATTTACATCAAAAGAGATACGTTATTGTCTTAGATGATGTTTGGAGCATAGATCTTTGGAGCAAAATACGAGGAGCCTTTCCTAATAATAAATGTGGAAGCAGAATTATACTCACAACAAGGAATGAGAATGTGGCTTCCTCCATTGGAATTGGAAGCCGTGTCCATCGCCTTCAGCCTTTGCAAGAGAGAGATGCTTGGGTCCTTTTCTGCAGAAAAGCATTCTGGAATGATCCAGAGCATAAGTGCCCAGAAGAGCTTCAACCTTTAGCGGAAGCCATTCTAAAGAAATGTGAAGGCTTACCACTAGCAATAGCGGCAGTTGGAGGTCTCGTGTGTTCAAGAAGCAAGAGGATTGTGGAATGGAAGAATGTATATGAGAGTCTCAATTGGCAACTCAATAACAATCCCATGCTTGAACAAGTGAAAGGAATCTTGTTGTTGAGTTTCAATGATTTACCATTCTACTTGAAGCATTGTTTCTTATATTGCTGTGTTTTCCGTGAAGGTTACTCAATTAAGAGGAAGAAGCTAATTCGGCTATGGGTAGCGGAAGGATTCATCAGAGAAAGAAAAGGGATGACAATGGAGGAGATAGCAGAAGAGCACCTCATGGAACTTATTCTTCGAAACATGATTCAGGTCACAGAAACTAATGAAGCTGGGAGGTCAAAGACATGTCGAGTGCATGATGTTATGCGAGAACTGGCTTTGACAACATCTGAAAAGGAAAATTTTTGTACAACATATGATGGGTATCAATCGAGTCTAGAAGGAAAAATCCATCGTCTATCAATTTATAATACAGGTGAAAGCATTCAGTTGAGCAGTACAATATCACGCCAACTTCGCTCTTTCTTTGTATTCCCAACAGATATGGGCTCATCATTCTCTCTAAATTCTGTTTTATCAAAATTCAAATTACTGCGGGTGCTAAATCTAGAGGGAGTTCCTGTTCAAACCATACCAACCACATTGGTAGATTTGTTCAATTTAAGGTGTTTGAACTTGAGGGACACCAAAATTAAGGAGCTTCCCAAGTCAATGGAAAAATTAAGTAATCTACAGGTACTGGATGTGTGGAGAACCAATTTGGAGAGGTTGCCAAGTGGAATATCAAAACTATCTAAATTGCGGCATCTAATGTGCAGCAATCATGATCAAAATTCTGAGACAATTAATGTTAATGGGTTGCAGGCTCCAGCTGGAATATGGAACATTCGAAGCTTACAAACATTAGCATGTGTTGATGCAGAGAAAGAGTTGCTCCAACAAGTTGGAAACCTGACTGATCTTAAAAGATTAGAAATTACAAAGTTGAGAGCTATTGATGGACCTAACCTATGCACTTCGATTCAAAGGATGACAGACCTAGTCCGCTTAGGTTTGGTGGCAACTGACATAGAAGAACAACTTCAATTAGAAGCACTAAATTCGCCCCCATTGTTTCTTCAAAAACTAAAACTGGTTGGGAAACTGAATAAGTTGCCTCCCTGGCTTCCGTCCTTAGCTAGCCTAACACACCTACATTTGTGTTTTTCTTGTTTAGAAGAGGACATACTTTCTTCTCTCCATGTACTTTCCAATTTAGTTTCCCTTGAACTCAAAAGGGCTTATGATGGGAAATTATTGCACTTTAAGTCTGGATGGTTTCCCAGACTTAATAAACTGGTGCTTCTACAGCTTGCAAGATTGGACAGCATGATGCTAGAGGAGGGCTCACTGCCAAGCATCCAGGAGTTGTATCTAGTTCGTTGTGAGGAGCTAAAGGTGTTGCCTCATGGCATTGAGCACCTTACTAGTCTCAAGATGTTACATTTGGAGGAAATGACAGAAGAATTTTTACAGATGTTAGACATCAATGCCACTGAATATCAAGAAAAGATACAGCATATACCTGTGATCAACTTGCTCGTGTAACTGGGAAACCAAGTGGTTGAAACACTTTGAGGTTCTCCAATTATTTGATTCTTTCTGTAACACCGTCTCCTATTAAAACAAAACCTTCTTACGATAGTTGATATTTGTATAATATTACACAAGCCAAGAAATTGACTAGTTAAAACCAGCCAATGCAATTAATACCTGCGCAGCAACAAGATCAGGAAATGCTCATTCTTTGAGTATATTTGTTGATGTTCTTTACAACCATGATTATTTTCGGCTTTATTTCTGGTGGATTCTTTTCGAGTTACCATTGTCTTCCATCATGAACAGCTATTCTTGTAAGTCTCTTAGGCATTTCCACAAACACCTAATAGGGCCTTGAATAACATCCAATCAATAGTTAAAGGTTAACCAAAAATAATTCCTATTTCCTAATCATATATCCTATAATTTAAAAATATTAAGGCCGTAATCACTTTTTTACAAGGCCTATATATCTGAGCTTTGTTATGAATGTGGATTTGATGATTGGCCAATCATAATAAAAGCATCTTTTTTTTTTTTCCTCATATTGGAATTTAAATGAGCCATATGATCTTGCAATTTCTGATTGAGGAAAATTAACAAAAATGAAAACTTGAATTCTTTGAGCTAGAACCTTACTCGAACCAGTTGAAGAGAAGATGTTTGCTATGTTCTGCAGTTGTTCGTTGGTCCTACTCCTACTGCATGTAGCATCAACAGTTACAATAGACATTATCTGCATAATCTTCATACTAGAAATAGGCCGTAAAATACAGTAACAAATACGAGAATTTGGACGAGCCGAAGGTAAGCAAAGTAGCAAGAGGAAGCTATGAACAATTTGATGTTCAGAGAATTTTTTATGGTTTGGGCTTGGTTAATTAATTAAAGATTGGGTTTGTGTATAAAGCCCACATTTTTAATTAAGAAGACTTAAAGTAAATGAAAGACAACATGATGGAGTTGAATTTGAGTGAGAAAAGGAAAGAGAAGATGATGGAGTTGATTTTCAATTTCTGTAGTCTATTTTCCTTTCCAAGCAATCATTTTTGCAAATTTACTTGCAAATAATTGATGAAGTAAATATTTGCAGTTTCAGTCTATTAGAAATATTTCTGTTCAAAAGAAAAAAAAAAAGTCTATTAGAAATACTTTTCCCATCTTTTTTCTTAAAGAATTATTGGGTGGGCTAATATTCTGAATTTTTCTTTTAGGCTTCATTTGTTTACAGAGAATAATTTGTTTGATAAATATTTTTTAAATTTTTTTGGTATTTGGAGTGTTCATATAAATTAGTCAACATAAAACATTTTTATGGTCAAAGGAAAAATTAAGTCATCCTTAAAGCAAATGACTCCCCATTTTTTAAAAGAAAAAAAATATTTTTAGACATTTACAAACTTATTATAACATTATAAATATACATTTATTAATTTAGTAATCAATGGTAGCTACTAGCTACCACTGCTAGTCGGCCGCCACTACAAGTCACCAATTACTATAGATCACAGCCATTGGTTATTCACAGCTATCAGAATTTATTTTTTATACATCTTTCTCGTATCTAACAATAAATTTGTAAAATACATGATTTCTATAATTATAAATATTTTTATAGTAATATATAAATTAAAAATTTTACTATTTTTTAATTAATTTTCAATCTTGCAATAAAAATAATGAAAATAAGTTATTTGAAAAATATTTTTTAAAGGAAAAATAATTTTTTTGAAAAATAGTTTTTAAAGATAAGTTATTTTTTAAATACAAACATAGTCCTAGATTTGATAATTTTGACTGATGAATGAGTTTTGGAGTCAAAGGTTATACTTATTGGCACCATAAATAAATTACTATCAAACAATTTTTTAAAGTCAAAAAAATCTCCAAAAGTAGCATTTTCTTTAAATAGGATTGCTTTGAATTTTGAGTCCCTGATCTTATTATTACCCGCAACTTGTTTAAACTTGGACTTGGTAAGCTACAAGCAACTTTCATAGCTTGTTGTCCTTCATTAGCATTAATAGGAGGACGGTGCAAGCCCCAATTTTCTACTTTGCCTTCTTTATTCATGTTTCGTCATTATCATTATCAATTGGCGTGACGGAATGATACTGTCGATTTAAATTTAAATAGTTGTTAACATTGAAAAGTCACATTAGCTATGTTGTGATGAATATAAGCCTGCGTTGGCTTTAAATTGACTTACTTTCCAATAAATATAATTTCACGGAAGTATAATTTTAAGGTTGTAATTTTTCAAGAAGTTCACTTCTCCGGTAATTATAATTTTAGGGAAGTAACTTTTCAGAACATATAATATAATTGTGTTTAGCTGATTCTTTGAATTCTTGAAAAATAAAAATATGTTGATGATATTTGATATTAGAAATGATATAAATGTCTCTACATAGAAAACCTTTGGCAAATAAAAAAAAAAAATGAAAGAGATAAAATAGGAAGTGACAATACTTATAAATAATGAAAATTGTTTTACTGGACTCAATATTTGAAAAAATTTTCTTTGCCCTCTTGGTCTTTTAATTGAATAATTTGCAGACAAATCACATTTTAAAGTTAGAAAGTTAAACTGGAATCGAAGATTAGAGAAAACAAATAAGAAATTTCCTTTATAAAATTAGATTTTTTTTTTTTTTTTTTTGATTTTACTGGACTCAATATTGGTTGAAAAAAAGTTTTCTTTGCCCTCTTGGTCTTTAACTTGAAAAAATTTTGCAGACAAATCACATTTTTAAACGTTAAAAGTTAAACTGGAATCGAAGATTAGAGAAAACAAATAAGAAATTTCCTTTATAAAATTAGAATTTTTTTTTTTTTTTTTTTTTGAAGGATTTTTTTTTTTTTTTTTTGAAGGGGGCTGGGCGACGCCCTGACGGTACCTGCCCATCCCCTTCTATGTCCATCAGTGGGAATCTTAATTTTCATATTAGCTAGTGGTGTAATAATGAGTATATATAAACTGAAAGTAATAACAAAATACCCATTCCAAGATACATGAATTTTCATTCAACATTTGCGGATATATATATATATTATCAAATTATTCTACATTTTAATTTAAATTAAATATTTCATGGTTACACAACAAATGCAAGTTGCATTTAAACGCACACACAGAGGAACGAAGGGGAAGGGAACCTGCAGCCCCTGCCTCCAAAATTTTTAAAATTTTGGTTTGATTACAATTGTTAAGTAACTTCTTTTTTAATATATATATATATATTAAAAAACAAAATCAATGAAAGTGTAGAATGAAAAGGAGCAGTTGGGCACAAGGCAATAATTTTTATTTGATTTATTGTTAATTTATGTTTAGTTTTGTCAAATCAAACTTTAAGAATCCTTTTGATTTAGTTGTTCATTCCGACTACTATTTAACAGTAAGCGGATAAATAGTTGGTGTTTGATAAAACTTTGGTGACAGTTTTGTTAAAATATAAAATGATCATTAATGATTTAATTCCTTTTATATAAATTTTAATTTTTAAAGTGAATATATATTTTTTTATTTTTATATGTTATCTCAGTAGAAAATACTAATTAAATTTTTTAAATAATATTAAATATAAAATTTTTGTTTCTAAATAATTATAAATAAAATAATAAAAAAATATTAATTTGAATTAGTAATATTTTTATGAAATTAATGAAGTCCAAATATAATATAAATTCAAATCAGCTATCAGTTGATACGCACCTATCAGTTGATACGAAAAAGATCCACCAGATAGTAAATTGAATCAGCAGCTCATAGAAAGTTTCAATCAGCTAATGATCCATGAATCAATTGAACCAAATGCCCTTAAAAATTTCAGGGGAAAAAAAATGAAATAAAGGTCAATTTCTCCCTGAACTTGGGAACAATATACAGTTTGTTCAAAAACTAACTTTTCATACAAATTACCCCTTAAACTTGTCTCAAAAATACAAACTGCCCAATTTTCTAAAAAATAAATTATTTGATATAAATCAGTTACATTCTTCATCATGCCATTGAAAACTCAGTCAGAAATGTTGTAATTAGTGTGAAATATTGCTGTTGTAACCAAATTATTTTGCATTTTAATTTAAATTAGAGATTCCAAACAAATGCAAGTGGAAATATCAACATTTTTGCATTATAAATTATCATAGTATTCCTTTTTTTTTTTTAATTGGAGATTCCATGTTTGCACAATCGTAATTGACCTATATATATAAAAATGGAAAAACTTACCTATCAGGTGTGGTCATGGAGTCAAGATTTTTATTGGAAGGGGATAAGAAAAATACTTTAATAGTCGTTAGGTTAAAAAGGAAATTGTACCAAATACAATTTGTCTTTTAAGAAGATATCAAATTATCCATTGTTCTACTGTAAGTGATAGATAGTGATTGTGTCAGATTTTTTTTTTTTTTTTTTTAAAAAAAAAGATTTTTTTTTTTTTTTTTTTAAAAAAAAACATTATTTTTATAAAATGGCAATAACAAACCTAAGACTCAAAGATTCAAAATTTTACTATTTGTTTTTTTTTTTTTTTTTTTTAAAAAAAACATATTTTTATAAATGCAATACAACCTAAGACTCAAGATTCAAAATTTTACTATTTGCAGGAATATTTCTAAATCTCGTTTGAACATGAGACTAATATTGTTTCAGAGTTTGTGATAACTTCTCCCGTAAGTAATTTAATATTTATAATTTTTCTTAGAGGATTTAATATCTATAGTTAAAAGTTAAATTGAATTTAATGAGACTTTTCCTCCTCAAATTCTAAATATTTTAATGAAGGTTGAAAAATTCAATAAATATATTATATATACATATATTTATTCTATGTCATTTTGTTGAAGTAGAAATTTTCAAATTAAAATATAATATTTAAATTTATTTTAGTATGAGTTAATTAATTGATTAATTATTTGAAAAATTTTTGTTGGCCTAGTGTATGAAATTGTAGTTCCATGAAAAGATTAGATTATTTTTATCACTCGGAGAAGACTTCCTCACGCCTCGTGTATTAATGATCACATGTACCAAATTAATTCGTAAATAATTTTTTTTAAAAATTATTATTATTTCATTTTTTTTTCTAGTGAATAGTGAAAAATACCATCACCGCAACTAAAAGCTTATATTCAGAATAAGTAAGCCATTCCCTTCTCACTAAGAAATTGTTCTATGTGTTCAGGTCAGTCTACCAAAAGAAGAGAAAAAAATATGGATTATACAAAGAGTCAAGTGCAAAAAATATTAGAAAACAAATAATTGACTATGCAAAATTCAGAAAATAAACTCACAAATTAACCATCTCTTCCAAATGCTTTAAGATTCACTTCCTTATATGGCAAAGAAAAAAGTTCATATTACTCTTTCGATTTTTAATATATAAGGCTTAATTTTAAAAAGTAATAATAAATTTTTACCATTTTCCTAACTTCATACCCAACATAAAAACTTGACGAAAATTGAAAACTACTAAACAATTTGTTGCAGGGTTATCACTTGCCCATCTTAGTTCAAAATTAACCTAATTTAAAAAAAAAATATTGTTCTCTAAATTTCTCGTTGATCAAAATGATATGATAAATAAGACTACTTCTTCTTTTTTGAATAATGGTGAAAAAATGAAAACCTTGACGATGGAGAGTACTCAAAACCAATAAGACTACAATTAACTGGTTAAAGCTCGTAAATCTTTATTACATATTTGAAAATAACTGAATTACTGCTGAACTAAACCTGATTATTCTTATTAGTACAGGTTTAGTTTTGTTATTACAAGAAAAGATTACATATATTTCCTAGCTAGTACAAATGAGCGGAAAGGCGTGGAGTAAGAGCCACCTCGAGAGGAGTGGCTTTGAGGTTGATTATTCCAGTGCCCTCACTCATATCAACAGGTTTCCCTGATGGGGTTTCGATTTCAAATGCATGTAAGAAAGAAGCAAGTGTAAGGTTCAAAATTTGAAGAGCAAAAGTGGCTCCAGGACACATTCTTCTTCCGCTTCCAAATGGTATCAGCTCTGGGTTTTTGCCTTTCACATCAATATTCATACTCAGAAATCTCTCCGGTTCAAACTCTGAAGGATTCGACCACACGCGCGGATCTCTATGAATTCTTGAAATATTAACAATAAGGCGTGTACCTGCTGGAATATGATAGCCACCGACAGAGCAATCTTTAATACATTCGCGTGGTACTGATACTGGCCCTGGAGGATATAACCTTAATGCTTCTTTAACGATAGCTTGGAGATAAACTAAATTCTTCACATCGGAGTCCTGCACTTGTCTATCTTGACCAATATGGGTGTATAATTCTTGTTTGGCTTTCTTTAGGACATTGGGATTATTGAGTATTAAAGATAAAGTCCAAGTCAATGCAGCTCTAACAATGTCTGATGCTGCTAAAATCAGAGACTGTAAAATTTAAAGAACAAAAATAAGAGTTGTGTGTTATGGTAAATAAATCTTTAAAAAAATTTAAATATGAGTGAAGTTGGAATACCAAGCATGTAGCTTTGTTGATAGTGCCAGCGTCTTGAGTGAAAAGCGTATTTTCATCATCCAGGGCGGACATTAAAACATCCATCAAGTCTTCTTCTTCTGGCTTGGCTTTCTTTTGCTTGTGTTCTTGTAACCATCTGTCCATTATCTCGTCCATATCTGTCATGGTTTTTTTCATAGCTTTCTCAACTCCGCCCACATCCAGCCATCTTAGAAATGGAAGTGCATCTGATACTGCAAATTTCCCTGCTAATTCGAAAAAATCCCTGACAGTATTTTGCCATGTATCACTCTCCTCATTACTCTCATCTTCGCCATTTATATACTCCACGTATCGCTTCCCTACAACCATCTTCAGTATCACATTTAAATTTAAATCCCAAAACCAATTCTTCATCTCCACCACAAGTTTACCGGAACTACTTTTATTTTTCATCCATTTCTTGTATAATCCTCCTACGGCTTCCTTTACCTCAGTCTCTCTCACATGTCTTAACAAGTCAAGCCGGTAATTAGAGAGCAGCTTAAGAGTGGATATTTTGCGAATTTGTCGCCAGTACTCTCCATAAGGAGTTGCCCCGATCATGGCATAATTATAACCCATGACATCAAAGAAAAGAGCTTTAGGACGACTGGCAAAAGCTTCATCATTGGTAGAATAGCATTCTTTAGCCATCTCCCAACTACTCACAATCAGAGCTCGATGCACACCGAGCCTGATTGTGAACAATGGTCCGAGCTTGTCAGCAATTTTTCCCAGAGTTATATAAGGTGCTTTTGAGAGACTTAGAAGGGGCAGGTGGCCGACAATAGGCCATCCGCCAGCGGCTTCTGGTGGTAGTCTCTTTTTGTTATTAGCACTCCTCTTTCTTGATATCAGAAAAAAGGAGAAGAGTATAACTGGTGCTAAAATGGAAAGAATGATAATGTCCAAACTTTCACAGAGTGGAGAAAGGAACTCCATTGTTGCTTTCTCAGTTTGGAAGGATAATGTTTGTGGTTAAGCACAACACAGAAGTGGGTAAACATAACACAGAAGTGGGTAATTTATAGAAAAAATAATACAATGGTTAGCTTGCACTAATTTAAAAAATAAATCAGTTATAATGAATAAAAATAAATGCAAGTTGGAATTTAATTCATATGTATCTGATTATATATATCGTATATGTGTGTATATATACAAGTTGGAATTTAATTCATATGTATCCTGATAATATATCGATATGTGTGTAATAATATATTATATATATATATATATATTAGGATTATATATAAGTATATATAGATATATATAAGTAGACACGTGCAGGTTGAAAAGTAGCTCAACGGAGCAAATAGCAATAAACAATAGTACGATATTGATACCAAACTTTTCAACCCTTGATATTTCTTCAAATTTATCTTGATGCATTGCATAATTAACACCGCAAAGTACACACTATATATGAAGTCCAATTCAACTAAGGCTGCGCACGCCAAATAGATAAACAATTATATGAATCCAACCGAGAATTTATATTAAACCGAATCATAATCGGAAAGAGAATTGGTATTAATTATAGAAACTGAAATAACATTGGATCGAATGGAATTTAATTTTTATTTTTGTAATGGATAATTTATCATCTATTATTAATATCCAATATTTAATAATATGATAATATAATACTCATTAAAGTAGAATATTATATTTTAATTTTTTTAAGATAATATTTCTTATTTAATCAACTAATATAAGGTAATAGTTTTAACTAGTGAGGAGCAGAGCTAGAATTTAGAGAGAATGGGAACAAACTTATATAAATTTTAATTAAATAAAAATTGAACAAAGAAGGAGAGGGGAAAGATGGATGAAGGCGTCTTGAAATATTCGTTTGTCAAGGTTTGAACCTTTCATGTTGTTTAAGAAAATTTTAAATTTAAAAAAAAAAAAAAAAAAAAAAAAAAAAAAAAAAAAAAAAAAAAAAAAAAAAAAAAAAAAAAAAAAAAAAAAAGGAACAAACGGGAGGGGGGATTGTCCTCTTACCTAATACATAGCTTAACCCCACTATAGTTTATATTATGTTTTTATAATAAAAATTCAGTTCTTTTTTCAGATTAATAGATGGTCCAACGACACGAAATAATAATGGTGCAAGCTAGATAACAGGTTATCTCTCTCCTCGGTTAACAAAATTGATAAAAATAAGTTGAGAGGATTTAAATTCACCTTGATACCTCTCACTTCTTATATAAATAAAAAAACAAAACATACCAACGGTAATAAAAAAAATCAAATTTATAATAATATTAATTTGCTTTATGTATTCCATTTGTGCATAAATAACTTTTTTTTTTAATAGATAACTGTTGTATTAGAGTAGCTTTTTTGTTCATAAATATTTATCGCTTAAGAACATAAAGAGTAATTAATTTTTTTCAATCTTATCATTATTTATATTATACACAGTAACTATTTCTATAAATTTTATTGACTAATGTATAAATTAGACATGCTCTTATAAGAGAACTCTAGGCTTGAATTCCATAATATGAATGCACATTAAAATATTTTTAACTTCAACTGATTTTAAGCTACGTTACATCTTGGCATATAAAAGTTAATTAAAAAAAAATACTCTTATTCGTTTGTAAAAAAAAAAAAAAAAAAAAAAAAATAACCTTATCACATCCATGTTTTTCCTCTTTCAAGGGAAATGAAAAATCGAGAAATTTGCTTCAACAAAATTATATGCATTGACTTTTAGATGCATGGTGGACGACTTTTTAAATTTGAAATCTAATTTTTACGTATAATTTACAATTTTTTCGTATGCTGACAAAATACGTGCGTGCTATGTCCGGTGAAACTCTATTTTAAAATTTTGAAAAAACTTGTTCCAGATCCGGTCCCATGTCCTAGTTTATAGACCAAACTAATGAAATTCAGTATTTTATTAAAAACGGAAGTATTTTCTTAAACCATAGAATGGAAAAAAAAAATCAAAACACTGTTAAAAATCTTCAAATTGATTTTGATTGGTTCCATTAATGTCTGACACTGTGGGACATCAAATGCCAAACAAAAACGGAAAGAAAAATAACATAAACTGCACCAACACATGTATGTTTTTCGTGTTAAGGGTGGATATTTTGGTCGGTTAGATTAACCATTTGCATTTACTGATTTACCACTTTAGGAATTTATTGTTTAGCAAATTGATTTACATATTTATCAAATTAAAAATTTACAGTGGCAGGCCTTATGTTTATCGATCAAGCTATCGGAATTTGGATTGTTAGATTAGCTTTTTTAAAAAATAAAATAAAACAACGCCAAAATGAAAAAATTAAAAATTCTGAATTTTTTGGAACTTTACCAAATAATTTTACCATTCATCAAATTTTTATCTAAATAATTTTTCGATCATTTATCATTTTAGCAAACTATTTTTATTTCGTTGGGGCTCAATAAATCTGATCTTTGTTTCCCTAGTTAGTTCAAGCCAAGTATTGTGTATGGGTTTAAGCGGCTTAAAAACTAGGGTACTTTCTTAAATGTAATTTTGATGTTTCATTGCATCATTTCCTGTCACGGAGAATTGGTTTTTGAAAAAATACAATTCTTCATTTTTGGTTTGTTTAAAAAATATATCTAAGATGAGAAAGATAAAATGGGTATTATCATTATTTCATAAGGCGCTAAATAGAAAAATGTAAAAATTAACGGAAGACCTAATAGTTTATTAAAAACAAACATAGGGAAAAAAATATAATATTTTCTTTCTAAAGCATAAGAACAAACTAGTTATGTTCTTAAATCCCCGTAGTCTTATATTATTATTTTCCCTTTAAAGT